AAACATTCTTAACATCTAACCGATGTAAGAGCTAATCATTAGTAGCAATAAGAGAGATAAAAAAAACGGACGGATGCAAGTTTGGCAACCAGAGAAAAAGTATCGAATAATCTACATCATATGTCCGTGCATACCCTTTTACAACTAATCGAGCTTTGAGACGAGCCACGTAACCGTCAAGATTAACCTTGATAGAATACACCCATTTACAACCAATAACTTGTTTACCTTTTAGGAGATGCATCATTTCCTAAGTATCTTTATCATCTAAAGCCATCATTTCCTCCTCCATGCTAGTCCACCAACTAGGATGGGACAAAGCGTCATACAATATTTTAGGTACGTAAATCGAATCTAATAAAGTAATAAAACAACACAAAGAAGGAGACAAGTGGTCATGAGAAGCAAATGAAGAGATAGGATGAGAACATTGTTATTCACCTTTATGAAGAGCAATGGGAAGATCAAGAGTAGGATCCGTAGAGCGAAGAGTCGAAAGAGGATATGAATCCCGATTTAATTGTAGATCTCATGGATGAGTATGACGAAAGTAAACTTAAGTGATAAGTGACTTAATGGGTATATGAGATTCGAGTAGTTGTAGTTACGTTATATATCAAAATATCATCATCCTCATCCTCATAATTATATGTAGTAGATTTATGAAAAAATGGAGTAGTCTAAAAAATGTTACATCAACTAAAATCAAATAGCGATCCAAAGTAGGAGAATAACACATGTAACCTTTCTAAAGACGAGAATACCCTAAAAAGACACACTTGAGAGATTTTAGATCTAACTTAGACACTTTGAGATTAACATCATGAACAAAATACGTACAACCAAAGACATATGGTTTGATTGGAAATAAAGACCGAGAAGGGAATAAAACAAAATGAGGAGTATCACTAGAAAAAACAAAAGAGGGTAATCGATTGATTAAGAAATATGCTTGTAGATATAGCATTAGCCCAAAATTGTTTAAGAACTTTCATCCGAAAAAGAAGGGCTTTAGTAGTCTTTAGTAAATGTCTATTTTTTTTGTTCGGTAACACCATTTTGAGGTGGTATGTCAATACATGATGATTGATGAAGAATTCTATTTTATGTCATATAGGTATTGAATGACTTAGAGAAATATTATTTTGTATTTAATGACTTAGAGAAATACTCTTTTGTATTATCACTCCTTAAAACACGTATCGAAACATTAAACCGAGTTTGAATTTCAGCATAAAAAGCACATAATAAAAAAAACAATTCAAATCGACTTTTCATTAAATATAACTAAGTAATACGAGAATAATCATCAATAAATGTGATAAAATACCAAAAATCAATTATAGAAGTCACTGGATAAAGACCCCAAATATCGAACGAACTAACTTAAAGGTGACATAACTCGTTCATTAACTCTAGAAAAATACGACACACGATGGTGTTTAGTAAACTAACATGACTCACATTTTAAAGCGAGATAAATTCTGAAATCGAGTAAATAATTTCTTTAAAACAAATAAAGAAAGATGCCCTAACCGATAATGTAACTCAAAAGGTGTTATAATACTAGAACAAACAATAGGTTGTGGTATAGGTTGTGATATAGGTTGAAGGTGATACAACCCTCCGGACTCACGTCCTCTACCAATAATCTTCCTCGACATAAGATCCCGAAACGGACAATAGTCGGGAAAAAATAAGACACAACAATTGAGAGTTCGAGTGATTTTTCCGATTGACGGTAGATTAAATGAAAAATTGGATAAACATAAGACAAATGACAAAGAGAGAGATGATATAGAAAGAGTTGTTCCAATTCCTATAACAAATGGGTTACAAATGTGGTTGACCCATCAACCAAAACGACACTAGAAAGATTTTTGTGCGAAATAAAGGAGGAAAAAATATCTTTATTACATGTCATGTGATTCGTAGCACTTGAAACAATGACCCAATTGGAAAAGGATGACACGAAGACATGTAGTAGGTTTACCTATCTCATCACTAATAGTCGGAGGTGGATTGAAAGACTTTAGCGAGGATTAATACTAAGTAAATTGAGCAAAATCATCGGCAAACATTGTTACAAACTTTTCGGATGAAGAAGAGGTAGGACTAACCTCTTGGGTTGTAAATTTTACGGTATAAAGCCGACTTTTGGGTTTTCCCATGAAGTTTACACGTATGTCTTGTATGATCGGGATCTCCACAAAAATAGCATGTTATTGGGCTATTTTGATCATTACGTCCGAGATCGCCATTCCCTCCATAAGTACCACTCCTACCACCTCGAAAAACAAAATTATTTTAGCCACCTCTCGCTACTTTGACCTCCTTGACCTCTTGCATTCCAATTACATCGGCTCACGAGGGCATTACTAATACCGGGAGAAGGTTGAGATGTCTCTATACATAAGATTCTAGTGAAGGTGTCATGAAAAGAGACAACTTCGGACTAGAAAGGATTTATGTGCGAGTAGCATCAAATTTAGGTGGTAGGCCTACAAGAAAACTCATGACAACCATCTACTCACGTTGAGATTGTTGGGCCTTCATATCGGTACCAAAAGGAAGGAGAGAATTCAACTCCTCATAAACCCGTTTGAAATTCATGAAATATTTAGTAAGGGTTCTATCCTACTTTTTGGACGATAGAACTTTTTAAATACATTATAAATATGAGAAAGATTACCCTTATCGAACATAAAAATGCCAAATAATCCATAAGATCTTTAACAAACACACAATGACTAAATAGATCAACTACTTCACTGCTAATAGAGTTTTGAATTTGCGGATATATTCGCATCTGCTCTCAACCAAGCCTTCTTTTCCACATCATCGGTTGGGGGATCATTAGTAAGATGATCGTCTTGATCAATAATCTAGAGATACATGTGCACCGTTTTACTCCAATCTAAAAAATTTCATCCAATGAGTTTATTTTTTGCAATTTTTGTTGTTGAAGTAACAATACCAAAAATCACGAGTTTTCTTTTCTATTCCATCGGCTATTAAACAAAAAGAAAGGAAGAAAATAGGACGGGAAGGTCGCGATAGCTCACTAGGACAGACAACGGAAAGAGAGAAGAAAAAAAGATGTGGTAGCTCACTAGGGCAACGACGACAGCTACCTAATTAGGACAATAGCTCTAATACCATGTAGAAATATGAAAATAGAATAATGTATTTTCTCTTATTGAAGTGCATGAGTACAATATGTATACATATAAGTCTAGGATTAGTCTAAATTCCTAGAATCAAGCTGTCATTAACTTCCTATAAATTAGCTCCTCAATTAGCCCTATAATTGACAGCCCTATAGTTTAAGTACTATATTTACATGAGAATCAATGTTATAATTGACTTACTATATTTACAATTGCTACAACAAAATACAAATGAAATGCTCCTTCGAAATGAATGCTGTTGCCATTCTTAGAAGCAGTTCAGCAAATTCCTCAGGCCCTAGAACCAAACAAACTGGTTAAAAAGGCCCTCCACCCTGTGCAGCTAAATCAGTCCCACAGGAAAGCACAATTGAATCCCTCATCCAGTTCATAACCAGCATTGACTGCGAATAACACCATGTTTTGATCGGGCATATCTTTCCTGATTTTGTAACACAATCCATGGGTTTGCACATCTAAATGGTTATTGCTTTACAACGATGTTAGTGGCAAGAGATTTCTTTTTTAAAGCCACTCTTGGTGTGGCAGCCACTGCATTTTCATAGAATCAGATCCATGAACTTCAATGCTCAACCTAACGACGGAGTTATCAGCCTCATGCCCTTTATTCCACCACCCTTCTTACCTGAATCTGTCCAGCTTGTAGCGCATCCACCACCACATAGCACTTCGATTTCTTTCTTGGATCAAATCTGAGGTCTTGTTCTTCTGCTATTCACGTTTTTTGTTTCCTTTTTCATCCCTGACCTCCAATTTAACCCTTTTCTTAGAGCAGGGCCATATTTCCTCTGAATGTTGGCCAGTGAATGGAATGGAAACCTATGCAAATTGACAGTGCCAAAATGGAAAAATGAAAAGGCACTGATTCACCAAACAGAATTCCAAGACAACGTCATTAATAAACAGCATCAGTGCTTGATGGGAAATAATAGTATTCAGCAGCATCCAAAATTCATTGCTAACACCCCCAAAATTACCTTTCTAAAACCAGAAGTTATCCAAACTTTACAGAATTAGCAGAATGCTCAAGTACAGGCCTGTCTACAGTAGGAAAAAACACCAATCTGATATGAGAGACATACACATTCCTTCCCCACAAAACCGCCCCATGCGCTCTCCGGACTGTCCAAAAAGAGAGAGAAGATAGTCAGAGGGATCCAAATAAGATATTCTTCCTATTGCACTCCAAGCTAACGTTCCATCCTCAACAGACGAGCTTAATCAGCATTTAAAATTGCATAGACAAGCTCTCAAATTCTCCGAGTCCAACCTCAAAAGTAATGGAAATGGTAATGCTAATTCTGCTGCTCTTTGACAACATCCATTTGACAGATATCTTCCCCTCACTTTCGACATTTATCAAAATCTAAAACTGAGAAAAGTTAGAAAGAGAAACTTCAAGAAAGAAAAAGCAAACTTAAAAGCCTGTACTTTGCACTAGTGTCATCAATAAACTAGCTAACAGAACATAAATCAGAGAAGCTCATGGATTTCTACTTGATTGTCCAATCAATTAGTTTGTAAACAAAAGAAAACAGAATCAAACTGTATCGCTCAGTTGGATCTCCTTTTAATCCTTCAGCCACAAACAATTCAATTACTGAACTGTTAACAAGAAGGAAACATTTGATTGCACCAACACATAGCTCATCAACATGAATTGCCAAAAAATAGCATTCGTTGACATTGAACATGAAATCATCAAAAGTGTGAACTACAGACAAACTCATCGATTACAGCATGTAACAAGAAAAGAAACAAATTATTACTCCTTCCAACTAGAGAGCAAAAGCAGAAGCAAAATCAAAATCAATTGATCTTCTTATCCATGTTTTTGATAAGCTGCCTCATTTGAAACCTCCACATCAAAAATATTGCTAAACCTAAACCTATGACCACATACAACCAAATTTTCTCATCTTCGCCATCTTTCGCAGACCTCACCTCCTCTATATCGAACCACTCCCTCCCTCCATTCCCCATTATACCCTCCATAACCCTCCCATATAGCACATATGCCCTGTCCTCTCTCCCCACCACAACCGAAGTAGCAAACCTCTCAGCATCAAGGTCAGTTCTGTCATAAACTACTCCCTGTCCCCAGCTGTCATCACTCTTCAAGAACCACAGCTTCTTGTGCGACACAACCAAAACGACACCATCTCGCCTTATCGCAATCCCATCGGCGGCCAGCAAATCCTCGTTCAACAAAACATTCCTTGCCGTACCGTCTTCTGCATCAACTTTGAACAACTTACCCGTATTGGTCTGCACTACCAGCAAATACCCCTTGCTGACGTAAGCAATCCCGTTCAGCCCGAAGGGACTCAACGGTGCATCACGGTCAACGGGAAACTGCGTGAAGATCGGAGATCTTGAAAAAATCGAGGCCTCTCCTTCCGAGTTGACTTTCCAAATGAAATTCCCCTCGGGATATCCTAGCGAGTTCGTGACGTAAGCGTTACCCTTGAAATCGACGGTGACATCGTTGGCGATGGGGCGACGACTCCCGTCGTCGGAGGGGGTAGAGGGTAGGAGAGAGAGGAAGAGGCGCTGGCCGGAGCGGAGGTCGTAAGCGGCGAGGGCGTTGAAGGGAGGGAGAGGCTCGAAGGAGTGGATGGCAGCAAGGAGGCGGTTGTTGAGTTTATCCACAGCCAGACCGAGGATGCTGGTGTTAGGAGGGAGGGAGTGGTCGGACACGATGGTTTCAACAACGCCGGCGTCGGAGACGGAGTGGAGAGCGCGGTGGTGCAGCGAGCCAACGACGAAGTGCTCTGCCGAGGTGTCGTAGGCAAGGCCTTCAGGGTAGAGGTTGGGAGATCGGAAACTGATGACGTGCGGCGCTTTTGCTAGTGAAGGGATAGGACCCGCAATTAAAAAGAGAAGGAAGAGCAGTAGAACTTCTACAGAGGACGACATATGTCCTCTGATATTTGAAGAACTGAGCTTGCAAGTTTTAAGTTCGAGTTGTGCAAAGAGATTGGCTTTTCTTTTTTCAGAATTTGTTCAACACTAACAAATAATCTGTGATGGATTGATTTTCTTTTTATCTGGTCTGGCTCTCCAATTTTGACTTACTTCTTTCAGAATTAAAAGTTATGATACAGAAAATTATTAAGAAGAGAATGGGCCTTATGTTTCTTATGCTAATCAGGGATCCAACGAAAATGGGCTGAAGGTGAAATGGAAGGCGTCCTCTTCTTCAATTGAAGCAGTTTGACGAACGGAGGGTACATTTGATAAAATATTTTTCAAAAACGCTTGTTTTCTCAATTAACAAAAAAACAAGGACCAATCGAGGTTTTGTTTTTCAAAATCTCTTCCGCGCGTGCAGGTACTCTTTTTTTTTTTTTTTTTTTTTTTTCAGCTGTTTGGGATAGAAGGGAAGAAAGGAGCAAATGAGATGAAGAGGTAACCTTTGGTGTTCGTAATTACTTACTACGTTTTAATGTTGTGTTATAGGATCATGTCTACGTACGTACAGATTTGGGTTCCGTTATATGGCTGCAGAGCACAAAACAGTTATGGGATTTGAAAACACATCCAAATTCTTTTGAGGTTATCAATTCTGTTAGACAGTTAGTTCCATGAACAAAGCTTACTATCTGGTTACTCTTCTTTTTTTTGAAGTTTCTTTTTGGAAGCTTCTCTCATGCAGAGTTTTATTTTCATATATTCGTGTTAATATATATTTGTATTTTTCTAAGAATTAGCGTTTTTCTCGAACCTGGAAAATTTCAGAGCTCGTCTATAATATTTAATTTTTGGTTTTAAATTTTGATGAAGCTTCTTTCTTGGACTCAATTGGCTTTCAGGGCTATGTATGCCGACTTATGCAGCTTGGAGGGTCTTTGATTTGGGAAGCAGAATGTTTATCTCTCCCTGAATTTATTCCTACTACAGATAGGATTTTTGCTGTGTGTTCTGCTAATTCTCTGTGTGGAAACAATTCCCTCTTTGTTTATGGGTTGCAAAGCAATATAATTTCTTTGTTTATGGCACTGTTTTGAAATTGATACGCTTGGTGAATCTAGTGCTTTTTTCTCATTCCTTTCACTGTTAGGTCTTGTAGAAGCTAGGTTGGCTGCTATACCAATCAGCCTCTCTATTACTCATTCATGTGCAAGTGTTTGGATGTCTCTTGCTCCACCAAAAGTGGAAATCTTCACGTGGATGACATTAATGGAAAGAATCAACACCAGGAATTTCCTAGCTAATTGACATATTCTTCCATCAAGCAATGAGGTTTGTCCTATTTGTTAATTGTTATCACTGATCACCCGAGTATGTGAATCGTCTATTTCTATTCTGCTCAGAATCTTGGAAACTTCGGTGTAAACTATTCTCATGGTGGGGATGCTTATGGTCTGCTCCGAAATCAGTAGCTGCCAGCAATGGTGTCTTTTTGCTTCTGGGAAGCTCAAATCTAAAGTTTGACACTTGCCTTCGTTGCCACACTTTGGAGTATATGGTTGGAACGAAAGAGATTAGTTTTTGAAAATGAAGATATAGTTTGGCCAGATGTCTTCTGTCTTATTCTTCATAGGGTTGCAATGTTGATGAGGGCACTACATGGTGACTTTCTCTGCACTGGCAATGATTTGCTACGAAGCTCAGATGGAATAAAGTTATGGACAAATTGAAAGAAAGCTCGACCTAGGATCACATGGATTTCTCCTCCTTTTGGTTGGTTCAAATGGAACACGGATGGTTCTTCTTTGGGAAAACCAGGGTCTTCAAATGCAGGTGGGGTTTTGAGAGATTCTTGCCGAAATTTCATTAGTTGGTTTTAATCTCTCTAGGTGTATTGGAATCCAGTGAAGCTGAGTTTATAGAAATTTTGAAGACACTCGAAGCCAGTTCCTCCGATCAATCACTTCTCAATGCTCATATTCAAGACGAGTCTGATTCTACCAATGTGATCAGCTGGCTTAATAATGTGAAACATCCTCCTTGGCCATTCCGTTCTTCATTGAATGCGATACGAATTCATCAACATTTCTTCGGTCAAATCTGCTACCTCCACACGCCTCGGGAAGCTAATTATGTTTAGACTCATTGGCCAAGTCTGGTGTTGCCAGGCATGATGATCTTATTGCTTGGATAAAGCTATCATGACTTTTGGATGCTTGTGGGATTCAATTTGGCTGGCCAAGTTGTACTTCCCTGCCTCCCTTCTTGGTCCTCTGCTGCTTTGGCTTTAGTTTCTGTTTTGGAATGTTCTTTGCTTCCAGGAGCTATTTTTCATGTACTGAGGCTTCTTTGCATGTAGCCTTTGCCTACTTTTCATAGAGACTGGTTTGTGTGGTTTGCTTAGGCTTTTTCCATTGTAGTAAAAAATTATCTCTAGTTTCATGTAAAAAAGGTAGATCATCAAGGTACTCAATATCGATTTTACAACATACCACGAAAACAAGGTATTCATGATTTTCAGGAGAGCCTGAAGAAGTTCACAAGAAGAACAAATTCATTTATAGTTGAACTTCCGAAGAAATGGCCGAATGAAAAAGCACAAAATTATCTCGCATGTTTTCTTTTCGTAAGTAATAATAACTGAAATAGTTTCTGAAAATAGAACACAATAAAATGTCTCAGGATCTTTTCATGGTGAAATTTAGACGAGTGAAAACATGCCCAAATCAGCATGGATTTCAGGCTCAAAATGGAGAAATGAGGGCTGAATATGTACTAAATTATGTGTCTCCCTCTTGACAAATTAAATACAGCTACTTGTTGCTACCATCTATCTAATCAATTTCTCATTTTACACACAGAAGTAACAAACAACAGTATTGGCATATCTCTAAGATCCAAGTCATGAATAAATGCTAGATGGTATTAAGATCCTAGGAAGTTCAATTTTTTTACTGCATCAATTCTAACTTCTTGATGTTCTTTTCTCTCCATTCTTCTTCATCCTTCTGCTTCTTTCTGTGAATTCTCACTGCTATGCTTTCTTTTTCCAGTTCTTGAAAGAGAAGGTCTGTTATTGTGTACAGAAATCAAATAAAACAACAGTATAGTTGCCAGATGAAATATTTAGCATTCAACCTCATGGAATGCAATGCAGACCACGCAAGTGGAAATATCGAGTGTGTACTGTACTGAATGCTACGTGGGTTGTGACTTGTGACAACACTACCGCCATGTCCATGGTGTGGAAACCTTGCTAGCCAGCTGTATGCATATGCATTACTGTCTTTCTGTAAAAGAAAAACATTGGAAGAAGAGGAGCTAGGTTACCTCACGGTATTTTGTCAATAGAACCGATAGGTCCATTAGGTTAGGTGTAACGCTTCTGTATATTTGGGCTCAAATGGGTCCCGCCCATGAAAGATTTCTCCTTTCAAAGAAAAAGAAAAAGAAAAAGTTGGGGTATTATTCTGTAACCTTTTAGGTGCATTTCATAAAATTTGGTGTACAAAAAAAAAAAAAAAGGAAATGGAAATGAGACCCTAAACACCAGTTAACAAATAATGTTGTATGAGGAAAGTTGGTGAGCATGATTGTTTTTCACTGCTTTCATTGTTTTAGCCTGCTTAAACATTGCTGGTGAGCAATATTGTTTTTCTTATCGCTCCCATTAGCCTTTTCTACTATTTTAATCCTGAATAATAATAATAATAATAACACGTTAGGTACCTAATCATTTTTCTGTTGCAGGGAATAATCTCTTAATAAATAAAAATGAAATTAACAAAACTTGCTTTTGGCAACTGAGGACACACGACATATAATTCTTTAACATCACCTGGTGGACATTGAACTAAAGACAAGCACAGCACTTCCACTACAAAACACAAAGACATGATACGTTTGGACGGCTCGTGGCTAAACAGCTGCTGCTAGTCACAGGAAGAAAGGATTCCTTTGCCATTTGCTGTCTGAAAGAAGATTACTAAAAATTATAATTAATATCTGGAAAACTCCAAAGTCATAGCAGTGTAGAAAAGGACTGACTGTGAATCTGAAAGTGAATTGGTTTTGAGTTGACTGAGGCCCTCTGCCCTCTGGTATAGTCATATGTATGTATGCAGAGGTCAAATTTTTTATGGTATAAAATATAGCATGCGCACACAGATATACCATGTAGTTATAAATGTAAGAGAGTTACAGTCTCTCATCTGTCTCTTTCATGGGTAGATATGTAAACCGGAAGCAGTAAGTGTAGGGCTTCAAGCCTCCAACTATAATTTTTCTGATTTCCAGTAATATACAAATATGACAACTTGCCCTACCCCATCTTTTCTTGTTTGGATACAATTCAAGCTGTAATGACCTGTACTTGGTGATGACTTCAAGTCACGAATAAGACTCTGCCATTGCAAATGCCTGCTTCATTCTATATTTTTCTTTACTTGGTTGCCTAGACTCGCAGATGCAATGGAAAAGGGAGAAGAAGTCTTGCAATGTAGAAGAGGGAAATCTATAATAGAAAGAAACCTAAATGAGAAGTCAGTCACTCAATTTCTTAAAATTAACTCCACCTTAATGACCAGGAAAAAACCTATTCCAACTTGAAGAAATTTTTTCTTGGTAAAGCAACCCTAAGCATTTAAAATTATCAAAGGAACATTTTTAAGCATAACAAAAGAGCAAAACCTAATTTCATGCTGATGATGAGAGAAAATTATTTTTCACTTATTGTCATAAGAAAGTGCAAATGAAATCGGTGCAAATTTTCCTGGTCTGCTGTGAGGTTAGAAATTAACAAGTTGAAAATGAAGTTTGCCAACAGACTCAAACTTGATAGTGGCTAAAAAGGAAAGAGACTCAACTGGAACGATTGAAGCTGTAGCTTGTTAAAACCAGGCTTGCCCTCGGGTCATTCATTCTCCTAAAACTGAGATTACTGTTAAGTGGTAATCTACATGCTGCATTATCAGAAACATACAGAAAGCAATGTATCTATAAACAAGGGCACCACAAAATGTTTTATTCCTTGTCAATGAGAAAACTGAATTCATCACATATAAAATTACTTTGGCTAAAATGCACACAACAATGAATCATAAAACTATGGAGGGTTTGTGAGTGATAACAGATTTACACAAAAATCCCATATTACCCACACTACAATGAAAAGCCTACCAGAACCAAACAAGGTGAGGAGGAAGACACCACCAAAAAAAGGAGTGAATGGAAGAATTTCTGAATACAGGAATGGAGCTTGAATAAGAATGTGTGGAAGGGTGGGGGGCTTGTACAAGGGGGAGGAGTTATGGCACATATTCATTCTCAAGGGTCGGTTGTGTTCGAGTCACCATTGCTGCTGGTGCTTTCGTTTCCCCAACTGATGTCATCTGCAGGGATTCCCCCACCTCTGCAGCCCTCTCCATGTGTTGCATTTTCTTCCTCTGCTTCAATTTCTGTGCCCACAATATTAGGAATGACAAAAGCACTAACAGCAATAATCCACCCAGCACAGACCCAACAATTATCCACACTTTTTTAGAATTCTTCTTCTTTCCCCCTCCACTTGGCCCAGGACCCACATTCGGAGGAGATGGAGTTGGAGACACTGGTGCTGGTGAAGGGGCCAGGGACTCAACAACTATTGAAAAATGCCCTTGCTGAATTGTCGAACATACATTTCCAGACGTCGCATTGCTAAAACTTGGAAAACCATGCATATCAAACCACACACATTTTGCCATAGCCCCATCTGGAGCTGATTGCACATTTGAGAATGTGATATTTAGGGGATTACCGTATGCCTTGATGTCCAATAGAGGCAAATTCGTTGCTGATAAGTTTGAAGCATTATAAGCAAGAAGACCCAACACTGGAGCAAGGTAAGTATAACCAGGAAGTGGATAATATGTCAAAGACCAATTGCCCAAATTTTGGTAGACCAAAACAAGCCTCTCCACATATGGCTTCACCACTACTCCTGTGGGAATCCCAAACTCTTTGTACATCTTAACACCTCTACTTCTCAAGCTCCCACTCCTGAGCCTCATGGCAGCAATCTTAATTCCAGTCAAATTCGAAGGAACAGACCCATCATAAGAAATCCCAGTCCTAGGACGAACAAATGCCCTATAAGCATAATCTTGGAGGAGAGCATCAAGGGCACGCGCACTGTTTGTTGATTGAGCATTAAACCTCGGCAACCAGAGGATCAATGTTAGAAGAGAAAGCATCGCGAGACTTCGAAGAAGCCCCATCGATGCTTTGAAATGTTAGAATTCAGCAGAATGCCACTCAGAAAACCTTGCAAAACCCGAAAGTAAAACCACCCACAAAGCCAAGCACCACGATCTTCTCCTTAACAATGCCCCAAATCCAAACCAGAAACTAAAAACTCAAACCTGAAGAGATATTGCAGCCCGTTTCTTCCAAAGAAACTTCAACAACAACAAAGCCTCAAACTTGCAACTCGATAGTTGGTGGGTGACACGTCTATCTATATCTCTCTCCCCTTTTCTATATGTCTAGAAATAAAAAATGTAAGCAACGGATACTGTATAAAAGAACCCCAGATTCGCCAAGTAGAGAATACAAAGCAGTTTTGAAAGGTTCAACGGTAGGAACCCTTTATATATTTTTTCTCTCTTTTGGAATTGCTTGTACAAGACGCTCTATTATAGACCCAAATCAATCACAAAACTTTCCGAATCTTCGCAGCATTTTCTCAATAAGAGTCGAACTTAAAAAACCAATCTTCGCAATTAAAGTAACTAATTAAAAGCGTTGAAAATTAATCAAATCCCGAGGGCTAATGAAATGACTGCCAATTAATACACATTCCAAATAAAAACCAAAAGCAACGTCGATTCAGCAGCAAAGATAGAGACTTTTTAGTACCTGAATTCGGAATTCCAAATGGGTTTTTCACTCGACAAATTAGAGGTTTTTCTTCTTCAAAACCATGCACTTGAAGATTCACATTAGCCAAGCAAGAATCTTGAGATAATAAATCATGATTGACTCTAGGCAGGAAGAGTAAAAGGAGGGACCTTTTTAGCCAAACCCCATCTGCATTATGATTGAATCAAGAGAGCAACACAACAAAATAATCAATTTTGCTTTTGGAATTGACCCCTACACTCCTCTCTCTTTTTACTTTTTCTTTTTTTGTTTATATATGGGGCAAAAAAAAAAGAGTACAGAGAGAGTGAAAAAGAGTGAGGTTGCAAGAGGAAGGAAATCTAAAAGGCAAGAAGGAGATAAGCTCTCTAGATGATGATGATGATGAAGATGACCCAGTGTGGAGAGAGAGAGAGAGAGACAGAAAGAGAATTTAAAGATCGAAATTTTCTCGTATTTTTGCTACTACTCCAGCTAGTGCTGCTTCTGCTGCTTCCATAAAACTAAAAGAGTGCCTTCTTGTTGTTGGTAACAATAAAAATAGTAAAATACCCACAGAAAATAGGGGAAAAAAAATTGTAGCAACAATAATAATCTTAATTATTTTGATTTTCAGGTGTGTAAAACGCTTGCTTAACCCCTACATGATTGTTCTCTCTTTTGTTACTGTTTTGCCCATCATTCTTCATTTATAGACATACATGTCCCTAGGACTATTGGGTTCTCTCTCTTGTTCTCCCTTTGTTATCTGGTGTTTTTTTTTTCCTTTTTTTTCTTTTTAAGTCTACCAAATTTCAATGTGTTTTCCTTTAAAAGAAAATAGTGATAATCTCCATTATATTTCCTTATAAAAAAATCCTTAATCTTTACTCTTTATTCTTAGATTCAAATTTTAATCGTCATGTACTTCTATTTTTCCGGATAACGACAATTAAATTATTTTATTATTAGAATAAATTTGATAAATTTTTTCAAGTTTTTAAAAGAATGTGATCCGTCATATTCTAAATTTTATCTTTAGTTTTAAATTTTATAATCTAGATTAGACGAGACGAGATAAAATAATAAATAGTTATGATTTTTATACATCTATGTATCAAAATTATAATAATTCATTTTGAATTTAATGGATCAGATTTAATAAGCATAATAATCATAAAATGTAGGAAAAGATTTCAATATTTAACAATGTTAAAAGCATATGAAATTGTAGTAATTAGATTAATTATTTTTTATGATGTCATGTACATTTCTATAAATACAAATTGGTATTTGGTAATTGAAATTAAAAAAATAAGTTGTTAGTCTAACGATAAGTAAAATGGTTTCGGATAAATTTTTTGCTAATATACATGATTCGATTCTAAAATTGTATTTTTTAAGAAGAATTAAACTTTATCAATTTCGTTCTAAATATGATTAGTATTATATTTAAAGTGAGATAAGAATATTGGATAAAATAGGGGGAAAAAAAGTTCAAAATAAATAGAGTGTATTGGTTTAATGGTTTTTATCAATTTATGAGAAAACAAGAAAAAGGAAAACCATAGGGATTGTTGTGGCTACCAACCACAAAGAAGCCCAATGTCCTGAAGTGGAGATTGGGAGGGCAAATAAAGAAGTAAGAAAGGGGAAAGCCATAAACAAAACCAAGGCTTATTCAATGAAATGGACTTCTCTGGAACACGACAAAGGAGCCCATTCAATCAGCCACGCTGTGCTAAATAATAATAATAATAATAATAATCATAAGTATTTTGCCAAATCTATTTCTGAATAGAATGGTAGTCTAAACTCTGGGGAAACTCACCTATCTCAAACAATTATGTTATAGGCTATTTGGTTCATTTTTTCGTCTGAAAAAAAACCTATTTTGCCCATTTTAATGTGTCTTATTCCATCCTATGGGAACATCAAGCATGGTTTAATTTTAAAATTTAAAACAATAGTAGTGATTTTATGTTTTAGATATTTGACAGCCGACATTCACCTAATTTGTCTTGATATATATATATAATTATTTTTACATGTAAATGATCGTGCTATATTGTTAGGATCGTTGTCATTCCAATTGTTATAAATAGTTATAAATATGCACTGATCAAATTTGGTGCATTCGTAAAAAAAAAAATTATTGCAACTATAAATACTTATTTCATAAAAGAGTAATAAACACAAGGAGAAGAGAAAATTAAGAGAGAATTTTTTTATAAAAAAATTGAGCTTATATGGAAATATTTTTATCGCTTTTGATGCATTCGAGTATGATTTTTTATTTTTTATTTTGTCTCTTTTCTTAAAATGGATTCACAAAGTAAGTATTGATAGTTATTTTATGATTATTTTAAAATTTCTAGTGAATGAGTGTGGAAACCAAATTTCACAAATCATTGGATACGTTGTTTACATTACATGCATTGTTTATTTTAAGTGTAAATTATCATTCTACGCTGTCGGTATCGTTGTCATTTCAATTGTTACGGATAGTTATAAATATGCATTTATCAAATTTGGCATCATTCATAAGAAATTATGATAATTAACGGATAACTATAAATACTTAATTAATAAAAAAAAAATAGATACGAGAGAAGAGAGATAAATAGAAGATTGAAAAAAACTAAGCTTAGGTAGAGATATCCTTATCATTTTTCTTCGGTCCATATATGATTTTTTTCTCCTTTTGCGTTTATTTCTCTCATCGAATAGAATTTATGAAGAAAGTATCGATAGCTACTCCTTAAATATTTTAAAATTTCTCGTGATCGAGTAAGTAACCCAATTTTCGGATCATTAGTTGCATTATATACCTTATTTATTTTTACATGTAAACTATCATTATACGCTATCAAGATGGTTGTCGTTTCAACTCACAAATAGTTATAAATATACATTTATCATATTTGGTATCATTTACGAGAAATTTTACGATACTCAACGACTAACTACAAATACTTACTTTATAAGAAAAAATAGATAAAAAAAGAAAGATAAATAAAATATATTTAAAAAAAAAAAAAAAAAGCTTAGGTGGAGATTTTTGTCGCTTTTGATGCATTCTAATGTGATTTTTTTTCTTTTTTTGTCTCTTTCTCTCGTGGTGGAACGAAGTTCATGAAGTAAGTATTGATAATTACTCTTTGAGTATTATAAAAAATTTTATGATTGAATAAGTAAACTAAATTTCACAAATCATTGGATACAACTAAATTTTATAAATCATTGGATACCTTATATACATTATTTATTTTTTACACGTAAATTATCATTCTATGTTGTCGGACTCCGTTGTCATTCCAATTATCACAAATAGTTATAAATAGCATTTATCAAATATGGTATCGTTTATGAGAAATTTTATTATTCTCAACGAATAGTTACTTCATAAGAGAAAAAAGAGATAAAGAATAGCAAAAAATACAAGATAATTTTTTTTTAGAAAAAAATTGAGTTTTTTTTTTTTTTATGTGAATGCAATTTTTTCTTTTTATGTCTATTTCTTTTTTTTAAAAAAAAAAAATTAAACTTATGAAGTAAGTATTGATAGTCATTCTTTGAATATTATAGATTCTTTCGCAATTAAGTAAGGAAACAAGATTATTAGATACATTGAATACAAATCTCAAGGAGGAATCTCTTCTCTCTTTTTTATCATGCAATGGGAAAATAGAGGAAGATAAACTCGAACATTGATTTATGTATATATATATTTTTTCTTTATATCTACTGTTAACTTGCCTATGAATCTCATATAAGACTCTAGTATCAAGTGATTCAAAAAAATTAATCCCTGCCAATAGTGAATTCTATTAAAAAAAAATTGACAAATTAGTCTAATAAGCATCCGAGTATAATAGTGCAATCGTCTATAATGGTTGACTCATGTTTTTACTAAAACTATTTGTCAAAACACCCGATCCTGTTTTGTCTTCTTCTTCTTCTTCTTCTTTTTCATTGAAATACTTGATTTGTTTGATTATAATTATTTTCTTTTTTTTGGGTTAAGAGAAGTTTCTTTTCTTTATGAACATGTAAAATTTTCCTGTTGGACTTGGAAAAGACGATGACAGCTTTCATTTTCAAGCAAATCTTGTTATTAAAGTCACAAACCAGGTTGAAAACCTGTTCTTGAAAAGCTGAAGTGTTCCACGGGCCTAAAGGGTTGACGACATCAAATTTAGCTGGCATAAACGGAGTTGGACTAATTGCTCATTGCAATCATCATTTACTAGTGAAGAAAAAGCACAACCCACCTGTCTATTTCCAAGTGCTTGTTGCTAGCTCTCTAATAATACCTTCGCTAAAAAGGGAAAAGGAAATTAAAGGGTAACCA